GGGTCTCTTTAGCTTGGAGAAGAGGAGACTCTTGATTAATGAGGGTGACCTCATTAATGTTTATAAATTTGTAAAGGGCAAGTGTCAGGAGGAAGGAGCCAGGCTCTTCTCAGTGACAGCCAATGACAGGACAAGGGGCAATGGGTGCAAGCTGGAGCATAGGAGGTTCAATCTGAACATGAGGAGAAACTTTTTTACTGTGAGGCTGACAGAGCACTGGAACAGGCTGCCCAGAGAGATTGTGGAGTCTCCTTCTCTGGAGACATTCAAAACCCATGTGGACGCGTTCCTATGTGACCTGGTCTAGGTGATCCTGCTCTGGTAGGGGAGTTGGACTGGATGATCTTTCGAGGTCCCTTCTGACTCCTAATATTCCCTGATCCTGTGAACCTCGTCTGGTACTGTAACTGCGCGTGTGTGTGACTTTATTACATTATCTGTAATCTACAGTCATTCTCAAATTGCCATCTGGTTTTGAAAAGGGTCAAGTAGGATTACTAAAAGCAGTCATAGTCTCCTTAACAATTCCCACTTGTTGAAGTCCCTGGATGGTTTGAGCAATTTCCTCCTCTTCCCCCTTGGAATATGATTTTTACAGTTACCGCCTTGGTAGGCACAAGCATCACAAGAAGATGCCACTTCAGGAATCTATGCAAGAGACAGTTATAGATCAAATGGCAAATTCTGCTTCCAAAGTTTCAAAGCAGAAGTGACCATTTAAAGTTTCAACAGTTTGTCCTGCCAACATACTGATACCCAAGATATAGTCTTTAATTTGGGCTATTAACAGTCTCATGGTAAATAGTATAGAAGAGCATAGCATTTCCTATTGTTAAAGTAACTGATTTCCCTCTAATCCACAGATCTGTGATGTGGCTTCTTTATTATTATTACTATGCAATACAGTAACCACAGCTCCAGTATCCACCAGAGCTAATACACATAAAACGCCCCCAGACTGCTACTTTATAGTTGAAGGAACATAAGGGTGTTGGTCCCCCTCACAGTGGGAGGCTACAGTGGTGGCAATTTGGGGAGACCTGCCAAACCTTCGTTTCTGCTGTTTTGGCACTGGCCAGGTAGTATCTTGCACTGAGGTGGTGGTGGGGGCCAGAGGCAGTCAGCTTTTTTGCATAAGCACTACCTTTTGCCATCAGCGAAACATTCCTGATGTTGTGGTCCCATCTGTTTCTGATCATGGGATATCAGCTTGCACAAGATCATTCTACATTTGTTTCCTCATCACCCATGCTGTAACTCCTTTCAGTTTTGCTGGCTTTCCTTTATGCACCACTCAAACAGATGGTCCCAAATTTACAGCCCCAGTTTCCCTCAAGGTATTTGCTAGGGTGCCTACATTAACTGTACCACTGCTGGTATAACCAAGGGTGTTAGTGAGGCCAGTGCTCCTCTCAAACACTGCATTGTGATAGTTCTTGGATTAGATCCTGTAACCAATGCATGAGTCATCCCTCACACATAGTGCCACATCAAATGAATACCTTCTTCCCTTGTACACCAGTTTCCAAGGGACGACCCTAATTTGACAGGTTCTGCGTATGCTGTTAAAGCTGCTGCACACAACCATTGATATAGCATAGGTGCAATAACATCTCACCCACTGGGACATCTGATACTTTGCAACTGAGCATACCCTCGTTGTATCTATCATTTGCTATAGGGCTTCATAAAGCTTTTTCAACCATTAATAAATGAATAAATGCAGCCCCACTATCCCAAGCTTGCAAAAGCCATGCCAGTATGCCTTCTCCACTGCTTAGCCAATCTTCCATTATTTTTCCATGCTCCTAAAACTAAAAAGATGGCGTTTTGGAGGAGGGGAAGAAAGGTTGTCATAAAGTCTTTTGGTTTCAGAGATGACAAGACTTACAAGGAGCTTCTGAGGGAGCTGGGGTTGTTTAGCCTGCAGAAAAGAGGCTGAGGGGAGACCTTATGGCCCTCTACAACTACCTGAAAGGTAGGTGGGTGGGTGTGGGTTTCTTCTCCCTAGTGACAGGTGATAGGACAAGAGGAAATGGCCTAAAGTTGCACCAAGACTGGACATTAGAAGAAACTATTTCACTGAGAGGGTGAATAGAATAGGCTTCCCAGGGAGGTGGTTGCATCACCATTCCTGGAAGTGTTCAAAAGACACATTAATGTGAAACTTGATGACCTTAAAGGTCTTTTCCAACCAAACGATTCGATGTTTGTATACCACTACTTATATTTAGGTATTTTTCAATATAGATATAAAAACAATGAAAACTTGTTTGAAAGTCCTAAGTGCTTCCACCCTATCTTTGTGGTTGTTGACTTACTCTGTTTCTGTTTTCTGCCACTTCTACAGTTGCAATTTGTTGTTCTTTGTTCATGAAGGAAATGTTCCAGGTTGAAAAACTGTAAGAGGTTATATACTGGAGAGTTAAGCTGCCGTACCCACTCTTCGTTCTCTGTACCTCATTGTTTATTCTGTCTTTCCCAGGGAATGTATGAAGAAGCATTAATAGAATTTGAAAAAATCAAGGATACAGATTTCCAAGCAATGTACCAGCTTGGTGTAATGTATAATGATGGACTAGGCACTAAAGAAGAACCTGTGAGTAATCTAGCTGTACACGCTTCACTGTTCTTTTAACATAAGCTGGGTTCTGGGATGAAGAAGATCTCAAAAATAGCTATTATAGGTTAATCTGGAAAATACTTATTAAAATACAAATTATCATAACTTCTATGGGTTTGGTTGTACTTTGTGTAGAAGCTATATTTAAAAATTGCTATTAATTTGCTAATGTTTAATGCTTTTCAATAAGCAGTATATATAAATGAAAACGTGTTAAAAGGGAAATCAAGCAGCTATATTTCAAAGTGTAAAACATCTGTTGCACAAAGATGTTTTTAAGGTACCTTCAATTCTTTTAACATGGATGCTAAAGAATATTGTGCTTCTGCCAGTGGTTGGCAGCAGTATTTTTACATTGGACAAATGAAGAATTACATTTACATTTGCAAGAATTTGAAGAATTCAAATTGAAGAATTACGTTGCCAAAAAAGGTTGAAAAAGGAATGAATTGCTGCAATAAGAAGAAAAGAGTTAATTTATTGGAGAACATAATCTTAAAGAATGGCATAAGGAACGAATATAAAAAGGATGAAAGAAGGTGTAGATAACAAGACAGGGGGGCAAGAAAATGAACCAAACGATGTATTAACAAATTGTATTTTTGTCCAATGCTTAGAAGACAGACAGCAGAGCAGAAAATACTCTTCTCTTTTTAGAGGTGGTTCATTTGTTCTGTATGTTGTATGTCTGCATAACTACTGCATTCATTTACTTGCAAATAAGCATTTTAGTAAAGTTTTTTAATTTTTGTGTATTATGAGAGGTGAATAAAATAGGAACCTTTTATAAAGGACTGTTTCTAGTATATTTAAACAGGGTGTCCATGATAAATTCTAATAGTGTAAATCTTGTTTCCAAAATACTTATGAGGTCCTTGGATGATACACCATACAGCTGCTCATATGCAACGTTCTCCATTTGCTTATTTAACATTACCATTTTTTGTCCACTGTGAATCTAAGGTATCTTTAATGGAGGAACTTCAGAGTGTGCTGTTGTATCCCTTTGCCTTCTGTTAAGGCTGTTTTATGGTTTCAGATACATCATGCAATATGAAAAAGATTACAGAAGCCTAAAATTGAAAACTTTGCAAGTTTAAGATGTGACATTCACTTACAAAGGCAGAAGAATATTTGAGAAGATTTTTATAAATGAAGAAGAGTAATATAATATCTGATGAGTATTTATAAGGAAATGATTCACATTAAAAATATGCTGGAGTTAAAAACCTAGGGGCTGTCTAGCAACCAAAGATCAGTTCTGCTCTGGTATGACACTGCTCTTGAGACTCTCCTACAAGTAGGCCTCAGCCTTTCTTCAAAGTGGAAAAATTACCTGTCTTGCAGAAGTTAGTGGATTCTCAGGTTCTTAATTTCATCCTGTTCTCAGTCTGAATGTAATAATTAAAATATTTAAATTTTAGGAAAAGGGAGTGGAATGCATGAAGAAAATACTCAGCTCTGATTCCCCAGAAGCAAGACACTTGAAGTTTGCAGCTGCATACAATCTTGGCAGAGCGTATTATGAAGGATGTGGTGTTAAGCTGTGAACTGAAGAGGCTGAAAGGTAATTGCACTCAGTCATTTTCCTGATGAGTAGAAGATGCTCTGTTACCTAAATTTTGTTTGTCCCCATTTTCTTAGGTTATGGCTTATTGCCGCAGACCACGGGAACCCAAAAGCAAGCGTGAAGGGCCAGAGTACTTTAGGAATGCTTTACTCTGTGTCAGACTTGAAAGATCTGAAAAAGGTAAAGCCCACTTGTATTTTTTGAGTTTCTCAAGTCCCCAATTAATTTTGAATTTTATAGAAAGACTAGTTATATATTTGACTCTGAAAACTGTGTTTTAAGTACTGCTAGGCATTATCATCCATTTAAGCCTGTATGAACAGATGTCCAGAATCCCTCATTTTGACTCACTTGACACTGTTAGTTGAGATTTTTTATTTTCTTTAAATGGTAGTATTAGGGAGAAGGATATAATGGATTAAAGTTTTGTCAGCCTTTTGTCAGCCTTCAGAAATCAAGGAGATGTCACTGATGGACAGCTCTGACAGTAAATGAAGCAGGTTTAAAAGCCATACAAGGATTCTGCTTTTTCTTATGTACAAGCACTTCTTACAGACTGGTGAACATAAAAGCTTTTATGGAAACAGTATGCAAGAAAAGCAGCTAAAGTGAATATATACTCCAACTTTGTGCCTCTTTTTTAGGCCTTTTTCTGGCATTCAGAAGCATGTGGCAATGGAAATCTGGAATCACAGGGTGCACTTGGCGTTATGTATCTCTATGGACAAGGTATATGTCAAAACACTAAGGCTGCTCTGGAGTGTTTGAAAGAAACAGCAGAACGTGGAAACATCTATGCTCAAGGCCATCTTGTGGAATATTATTACAATAGAAAATTTTACTCAACAGCTGCTGCACTAGCCAGAAGGTGAAGTTAATTTCACTTTATTTTTTATTACAGTTTTTCATGTAAGATCATGGAACTCAGATTAAGATGATTAAGTTCATGCTCCTGTCTCTCAAACGCGGGAGATGTTTGAGATAATGAGCTGCAAAACCTCATCTTTGAAGAGGTAATAGCTAACCACAGAAAATTAATACTATAAGGTTCTCAGTTATTCAGTACAGTTGAACTTTTCTTTCTGATACTGTGAAGCAAAACAGCCTTGAAATAGAATCCCAAGCAGACCAAGTAGAAGCCCACACTCAACCCTGCTTTCCTGTTTCCTCAGTCCACAATCTGCTCTAGGCTTCTGCCTTCACCGTTCCTTTTTAAACCCCTGCAAGCATTCTTCTCCACATCCTGCATCTTAATGTAATTTCTACCCACTGTCATCTAGCCCATCCTTTTCATGCTCTGTGGCTTGATGTGCTTTGGTCTAGTTCCTGTGTCCCCTACAGGAAATGCCAGCATTGACACTGGGTGTGATCCTGCAGCAAGCACTCTGAGCGGCACGGCATGGGACATAGAGGTAGCTGCTGCACACAGTGCAAAATTATCATCCTTAGCTTTGCATCAGTTGCTGCTTATGGGGATGCACACCACATAGGCAGTTTTAAGGCTGGACCACCAAACAGGCATCTGCACGCAGGTGGTTTCCAACGACTATCTGCTTGTGCAGCACTGACTGGCCTCTCTGCAGGCGGTCACTGGGGGAACTCACTGCTCTGCCTACATACTGTGGAGTGGTTTGTGTACTGCAGAAACAGCAACTGCTGGTATAGGCTGCAATATTAAATGCAGCCCGTCCGCATCAAATTTCTGTATCCTGAACTAGTTGTGGAGGAGAAAAGCAACGCTGGTACCAGTTCTATAGCTGATAAACAGCACACTTCTGTGACAAACCTCTGGAGCTGGCCAGTATATGATAAAAATTCAATCAGGTTATTAATTTGCTGGAAATAAGAGGCAGATAGACTAACTGACTACTTACACAAGCTGCACACAAAAGCATTCATGTTTTTTGTGGTATGTTTATGAAGCTGCTGCTGCCCAGCAATAAATGTGTCACAACTTCGCATCTTACAGAAGCTATTTATGCCACTGCATAGCAGCAACTCTGGTAATTCAGTAGTTCAGCAATGAATGCTGTTTGCTATACTCATTGCTGAAAAGGATTGTTTTCTCGCTAAATTGCTACTTTACTTTCTCTTGCACTGCAAGTATACTGATAGCTATTCAGTCTAGTCTAGCTTGTCTCACTCGGAATGCATCGGTAGATTATTCAGACAAGTACACAGTGCACTTCATCAGCTTCAATTGTGATTGCAGAAAATAGCAGTAAAATCCCATGCTACAGCCAGAAATGACAATTACAACCAAAAGATACCACCACCATACTTGAAACAGCCCGACTCACTTGGGATTGCAGTTGGCCTTGAGGCAAAAATCTCATAGCAGTTCAGCAAGTTGTATCAAGCATCAATACATTTTCTGCTAAAATTTGTTTATCCTATGATCATACCAACTATGCAGTTTGTTACATTATGTACAAACATTATGTGATTATGCACCATATAAGCTTGCCTAGTATTTGGAGTCTAGATTAGCTACTGATACTTCAAATAACAACTTTGTTATCCTATACAATTCCACTTAACCATTGCTATGGTGTGTTCTTGAAGTCAACTGTGCTGAACTAGAATTTTTGCCTGACTTGACTGAGTATTGCTATTTGCATCAGCATACCATTGTGTATCTTTTGGAAAGGAAGGCAAAAATGCTATATATCATGAAAGATGAGAGAGGTAATAGGTTACTGTTACTATATTTGAATATTCTTGCTAATGAGTCTTTGGGGTTTGGGTTTTTTTCTGTTGTGTTACTTGTATTTGTTAATGGGACCAAATTAGGTGGGAGAACATTGCTCTCCACACATTAAAGTGATTTAGCAGTAACCCTAGCAGAGTGTTACTTCAGAACAGTCTTTCATAAACACTGATTTACAGGGAGTAACTATAAACTGAAATGACTAGCACTTTTCTTTCTTTTTTTTCTGTCAAGCCTTCAACTATTTGTCATAACAGAAAACTAAAATGATGTGTGAAGAAGCATGTAATTACTGTTTGGTATCTGGAAAAGATAAGCGGCTTGGGGGTTTCTGTTTTAAGACAACAGTTAGGAAAAAAATCAATTCCCACTTAGAAAAGGTTGTACCTTGTATTATAGTAAAAATGCTAGGTAATTATAGCCTGATAGCTAAAACAATGATCACTTTGTCCCTCTGAGTCTTAAAATGGTTCTTTGTAAAAACAACATGCTGAAAATAAGGTAACAGCAAGCAGACAGTTGCATGCAGAAGAAAATAATTGAGCTTAGACAGTCATAACTGGTTGTCATAAATGGGTCTTATAACCCAAGACTCTCAAGTATGTCCAAGATCTTCAGATAACTATGATTTGCCAATACCCGAGTAAGAACTTGGAATTTGAGAGTCAGAATCATGGCACGGTCTGGGTTGGCCCTTTAAAGATCATCTAGCTCCAGTCCCGCTGCTGTGGGCATGGGCATGGGCATCTTCCACCAGATGAGGTTGCTCAATTATATGAAATCAGAGCTTTGCCTTTCTTCCACATATATATTAATTTCCGTGAAATACTTTAATAGGAAAAATGAAAGTAAAATAAGTTGCTTTTTATAACCAGTATACCTATAGTGAAAGTGACCGCAAAAGTTACATATTTGTTTGCTATTTAATATCACAATATTCAAATAAGACTAACTTAAAATCAAATACTGAATAGAATAATCCTTATCAGGCTGCTGAATACATGTAAACTTCAGCTTATTTTGGATAATGATGCAAAAGAAAAGGAGGCATTTTCAAGTCATATATGGCCGACTTAAATTATTGCTTGAATTAGCATTATCTAACCTAATGCTGTAAATTCCACAACAGGACTACAGAAAATGACGACATCAATGTGCTAGCAAAGATAACTGATTGTCTTACAACACACATAGCCATGGGGCTTGCTATGGCTGCTTTCTACTTGGCCAGATGCTTCCAGCTTGGCCGAGGTGTACAGCAAGATCAAGCCACTGCTCAAAAATACTATTCTAAGGTAAGTTGGGAAAGTCTTACAGACTAACATATAGCTCATGAAATTATGTGATACCTTGGACTTTAAGGACTTTTTAAACTTGCTGTTTGCTTAAAGACTCCAACATTATTTAAGTACAAAAAACATCTGTGCAGGAAAGTGAAGAGCAATAAAAATATATTGAAAGCTACCAAAAATAGTCTTGAAAGTATACTATCTGCCCACTTGCTTAAGTGGACAACACATTCTGCTAAACAAACAAACTCTGGGATAATCACCACAGCAAAAAGCTTGGTAAGTCGCAAGATAAATTGGCTAAATGATTTGAATAATTTTATCTCCAACTGATTTGCTGTCTGTTATTCTCTCGAACTGAAAAATGATAACCTTTCCTCTACTTTAGACTTAACAATGTAACAACTACAACCCTTATTAACGACACTTAAATCAACCGTAACTGGTTGTCGTGCTTATTTTTATGTTTACAATTCTAGGAATAGCTGAGGTTCTACTGTTACTGATATACAGGGGGGAAAATAAGTCACATTTTTTAAAAGCTCTGAGGTTCAAGTGAGAATTATTTCTTGAGGAAAAATATTACTGATGGCTTCTAGAAGATGAATCTGCTAAATAATATCGGTGATGTCTAAAGGCACATTCAAGGGAAGATGATTAGGCCAATTCAAGGGAATGTCACAAAGACTGGATCTGTGCTTCAGAGACACACTGATTTCTGTGCATGTAGAGAACATTTGTTTTTGCAAGTAGAATACTTTGATGCCCAGCTTGGTGCAATCCAAATAAATGAAGAGTTATGTAAATGATAAATTATCATAACAATTTTTGTGGCTCCTTACTCAGGAAAGCCACTGATACAAGAGGCCTAGTAGGGCAGGTGACGCTCTGAATACATGCATTTTACATATTATGTTCTCCTGCTGTGAAAAGTGTTAGAGAGGACAGGGTGACGAGATCAGTAAAGGAATATAAGCTGGGGTGCTATGAACACTGTAGCCAGTAGTCCTAGGTGAGTCTTAAGGTGTGGAAGAGGCCCAGCAGCATGGCTTTGTGTAAGTATAGCCCTTCCTACTGTCTTCCATCAGGTTTAGCATAACCACCACAACTGAAAGAAAATTACAGCTTTCACTCATCATTCACTAGCTGTATCTGATCTGGGAATGGCACTAGCTTCTTATTAGAAAAAGAGATTATTTCTACTGACTGGTCCCATGCTTCTCTATATAACAACGAAAGAGAAGGAACAGAAAACAAACAAGGAAGCTACCTGAAGCAGTAACTTTAGAACAAGATAAGAGTTGTAGGTGTGTTCAGTTTCTTTTGTACCTGGAAAAAATTTCTTGTTAACTGTACAGTTATATCATCTTAAAATTAAAATCATGTTTCCTTTTTTTAATTAACTGCTCATCGGAGGTTTTGGCTTATCATTCTTAGACCCAGTCAGTTTTGAAAGAGGTGAGAAAGACAAGATGGACATCCCAGAGGGCAGTGTAATAGCTGATGGAAGTGAATGAAACTGATTCAGTCTGTAAGCAGATTTAGGTTTCTGACTGTGGTGCCAGCACATGCCATACCAACAAACAGAATAAATCAAAAGAAAAAGAACCCCAAGCCTAATACTGCAGTCAAGTACGCTCATTTAAAATACTGAACTTTTTTACATGGCATCAGAAACAGGAATATAAAATGGAATATATTAACTCTAATATTTTAACAAGTTGATTATCCCAGGTAACGTCAACAAAACTCAAAGACCTTATTAATGTTATATTGACAACATACAGTTTTATTTTAACTGTAAACTAGAGCTCCCTATTCTTTGCTTTTAAAGGCATGTCTTCTGGATCCAGGTGTTGCTTCTGACCTTGAACTGGCAGCTAATCTTGGGAGAATTTAGTGTTTCTTTTAGCTGTGACTGGTATATAAATGTATTTCCTACAATAAACCATCTTTACTCTCCAGCAATTAGACTGCTCATCACTTACTGCTTGCTTTTCAATTTTCTATAAATTATTACCTTAAGTAATTTACTGATTCTTCTTTATCTAGAAGACAAGAAAGCTGAAAGTTCACACCCTTTAAATGAGATGAGACAAAAAGTCTAAAAAGACTTTTAAAAATTGTATTAAAAACTTAAGATATATTAAGGACATTTTACTGGGACAGATGCCTTGTGTTTTTTTAATTTAATACTGTTATAGAGCACATGAATTAAACTAAACCCAAAGAAAACCAATTGTTTCCTTTTCTGCATTTTTAGTATTTAAACATGAAATATTAATATTGTGAAAAGCCTGAACCCGAACTTGTCTAGTTTTCATGTACAACCCATTCACAGGTCATAACCATTTTTAAATCTTACCTTTGCTAGTGGTGTGTATACTTTCTTTAACAGGCTTTTCTAATGCATCTGGATCTACTTAAGTGTCTTAACACATTTTACTTTTAGACTGCAGAGATTCAAAGTTGGAAACTGCTCTGTAAGATATTTTACAGATACTTTACAGTTAAAATCTCGTCAACTTCTAAAATTAGAAAATACTACTTACAGAACTACTGAAAAAAAATTCAGGACAGAAACATTTGTTTATACATTCACTACACGAGGCCTGTTCTTCATATTATACTCCCTGTTTTTAAAAGAAATAGTTGAAAACCTTTTGGCTGGGAGTGTGTATGCCTGAGCAATGTTATGCTGAATCTTTTATCAGAAGATATTTTGATTAACCACTGGTAAATATTACTGACTGCTATGGTAATCTTGCACATTTCTAAATACCTATTTACTTGTAAAACTTTGTATGTGCAGAAGAATTTGGCTTGCTTCTTAGGACTGCACTGTGACTTGAAAACCTTTTTGAAAGCCTGTTGGAAGAGAAGGATAGATGTTACTAAAAACATTGACTTAAATATAGCACAGGGACTTAGTGTACCCTAAACTATAGCCAGTCTTAACTGCAAGCAGTTTTTCTAAAAGCACAACTGTACTGAATTTAAAAGAAAGTAATGAGTGTTACCTAGGGATTTTTGATGACGTTTAATTATTTAGATGTGCATTAAGATGATATTTACATATTTTTACAGAAATTATAAAACACTGAAGACATAGTTTTCTTTCCTTGTATAAAATAAGGGAAAGATTTGAAGGTTGTTTGAAATTAGGGCATTTGAATAAAACAGCCCTGAGTAATATCAGGGAAGTTATTAGAATGGTTTAATTAAATGTCTACTTAATCATTCATAGAAGCAATTCATAAGCACTAATCTCTGAACTAACATTTAGCACAGGCATTCTGTTAGGACAAACCAGTTTACATAACATATTTTTGACACAGACTTCAAAGTAATGTAAATATTCCTTATGAAACTAGTGCTGTCAGACTCATAGTTGTCAATACAGCCTCAAGTACTACAATCCAGTTGTGTTATTTATTGCTTACAAATGCTTCAAACTATGGGAAATCTTTGGTAAAAACAAAACTGATAAAATTTTCACAATAGCTTTACATGTAGTATTGCACAACAAGGCTTTTTCAATACACAAGAAAAAAGGAATGCTCAGATCCTCAGTGAGGAGATTAGAACTGTACAACATTCATTAGTTTACCACTATAAGCAAAATTTCCTTTCATAAATGTTTAAAATATTTTCTGGTTTCTTTCAGCTTATATGAACATTTATTTTTCAATCTATATTTGAAACAGAAGAGTAGTCAAATAGAACAAATTAAATAAAAATTGGCAACTATACAGCATTGTTTCATCTACCCTACTACAGCATTACATCTTTTCAAGTCTGTTTACTTCACAGAAAACTCAAGAGGAAAGAAAAACACTAAAAATAATCATAGTCCTCAACCCTCTATGGAAAAGAGGAAATAAGTTTCATGTCTATTATTGGACATAGACATTTCTCTAGTGGTCCAATTGTGCAGATTCAAACCTAAGAGGCATTAAGCTGCTCTAAATGAGCTCTTAGCTCAGGACACAGTTCAGTTAGCAGCAGTTCCAGCAAAACCTGAAAAACAGAAAAGAGTGAAGATGAGCACAGATGGCAAATGAGAATTTTTTTCCTTTCCGAAATGCTCAGAGCATCACAGATACCAGAAGCACATAGGGTCATTCTACTCATCATTCCTGCAACAACTTTTCTTTCATCCTAAAATTAGGAGGCGCCCTACAGATAATACAAGAAACTTCTTAAGGCTGAAAGAAGGCAAGTGCCACAGGCAGCTGCTTTCAGCTGGCAATTTCCCTCCCTGTACAAACCAGTGCTGTTGCACCAAAGTCATGGCAGCTACGTAAGCAAGCACCAGGGCACGCCCCTCCTGAGAGGGCTGTGTCCCCTCCTGCGCTGCAGCTGTGTTATGCGACTAGCCAGGCTATGTTTATTTTTTTCAGCTACATGAAGAAATTAGTTTGCCCCTCAAAGTCAGGCAAGTTAGATGTGGTAGAGGATTTCCTTCAGGCAAAAGCAATACTGTTTTTAAACAGTTTTTTGTTATTCAAAATTAGGCAAATGATGGAACCAAGTACATTTTTTCCAACTTACTTTAGTAACCAAAAGAGTTACTTGCACAAAGAACAACAGTCCAACACTAACCTCTGTAAATACACACACATCCCAGGCTTCAACACTGAGTGAGCAGAGCTCAGCAATTAACAGGATTATAAAGTGAAAACGCTGCTTTTCTAGTTACTCACATAGAGTAGATGCTTGTTAGCCTTTCTTTCTTGCAACGCATTGAACACTTTCACTATGCCATGGCGGGCATTCTGTTGTCCAACAAGATTCTGCAGAGTATCTGCAACAAATGTTACTTCAGCTGATGTTGTTTCACTGGGGCTAGGCAAAGCCTCCGTCTAACACTACTGCCCAGTAGGGAGGGGAAATGAAACCACTGAACTTCATGGGCCTTGGTTACAAGATACAATGTCCCCATTCACCAGCCTTTTAAAAGCACACAGGTAACTTGGGTCACAGGCTGAATAGATACCGTATTCTCAAGTTACCCAAGTTAAATAATAGTGCATGCATCTCCACGACAACATTTTAAGTGTTTTAACACAATATATAGTATGCCTCTTAGGTAGCTCACTTCGCAAGGTCAAGTCTAATCTCATACGTTATTAAAACATTCACTTAAATAAACCTTCAGCCACAAAGACAGAATTCCTACAACAGTTAAAACAGATTTAGCACTTTAATTGCCTCTCAGTCTTCACAGAAAATACTTCCCACAAGTAAGCAGATTAAAGAATTCAAAGTCAATTATTTTCATTTTGGATTAAATTGGAGAAAAAATAGTGATCCAATGCTTCATCATTAACTTAAGATGCATTCAGCTACATTCTGACATCTCTCTCCAAACTCAGAAACAAACTAAACCACAAACAAACTATGGAAGTCTATTCTAGGTAGGTGAGTACATAACATACAGAGTAAACGGAGGGTTGTTTACACAGCAAATGACAATTATTTCACATGCATACCTGATGCTGTTTTTGCAGTAAATTTGATTAAACAACCTACTGCACAGGGGTGCATGAGATAACTCATGAAGCCATAAAATAGCTCATTAAAGTACATTCTATTCAGACAGAGGGGAGATAAAGAGCATTCAAGCTATGTTTAAGTGCATTTCCAAGGGCTAATGGGAATTAATTTTGGTTCTTCCTAGTTAGATGCCTTTGGGTTTACACAGTCTCTGAAGAGTCAGAATTAGGTAAATGGACTCCCTGTCCTGTGCATGGGACAGGATGGAGCATCTGCAGGTCTAACCTTCAGTGCCCTGAAACCTTTTATCAGAAATCGATAGCAACACACAACACTGGCAGCATAGGTAGACCTCCATCTTCAATTCTGAAATAGAAGTAATTGGGTGGTGCCACTCTCCCTATTTTCAAGTAGTTTCAGGTAGCAGAACCACCTGGCAGTTTCAGGTAGCAGAACCACCTGGCATTTACTCAACAGAGAACCTGCAGAGTCTTGACTTGACTTAGGTTCCCTAATGAATATTACATATAGACAGGAGTACAGCCATACTGGATTTTGCACCACCAATAATACCCAATCTACACCCTTTACCAGACAGAAGAGGCAAAAAGACAAAAGTCATCCTTATTTATGTAAATAAGCATAATTTACAACTCTACAGAGAAAATCTAAAATGCAACAGAACAGTATTTGATCAACCAGTTTCCTTACTAGTTATGAAATCCATGATTATACAGAATGAAAGTTATCTCACCTGGAATGTTTTCAAGTAGTTTTTGCTGTGCTCTCTGTTTTGCCTCTTGCTTTTGTTCATCGCTCTTGGCTCTCAGTGGCAGTGCTAACTTTCCATTTGGCCAAAATGTATCTCGAAACACACCGATGTAGTAAACAAGCATTGGTTCACTGAACATCCAGTGTACAGTGTCACGGATCTGCCTGAGAAGAAGTGCAGGAGGGAGCATATCAGAACTGGTCTTTCACGTTTTATGCCGATCTATTCTTTTTACTTCAGAGAGTAGTGGAAATGAGGCTCATTTTCAGGTAATTATCACAATTTATCTGAGCTGATTTCACCAGCATTACAGCAAGTCTCTGGTTGGGACCTAGGTCACTCCAGATACCTGACTGAGATGTGGAGAAGGCTCCATTTCAGTAGAATACACAAACATATATTACAAATTACAAGTACTACATTGAAATAAACGTTGAAACTACATTTCAAGGATAGGCACTATAAAGGCTCCATGGGTACAGACAGAAAAGTCAGCTAACTAACTTATTGCAGCAAACTCCAAGCTAGTTGCAGGCACAAATGTGCCTGGTGGGATAAAAACATGAAGTTTTTATAAAAGTATAGTTAGTTCCCTCACAGAAACCAACAGCACATTAGTGAAGGGATTA